CTCCAGAGGGAATGAACAGAACAGTCAGTCACTGTGTGATCCATGCCCTGTCGTCCACTCCCAGGTCTGGCAATTAGAGGCTTCTCCCAGCTGAATTTACAATTAGGGTAAATTGGTAGGCCCAGTTATTACCACGCCCCTGCCTGTGGAAGTCAGGTTTGGTGAAGAGGCAGCTTTCCCCGAGACTGGAATATCTGCCCTGGTCACTTCTCAGGCTGGCCCCACAGGAGGCTTTCCTGAGGTCTGTGTCCGAACCTGGCTGTTCTTGAAAACGTGTGTTGAAGTAAAAGGGGAGCCAGGTTGCTTCCCTTCCCTGCTGGTCTCTCGTTTGGCTGATGTGGTGTCACAGTCAGGTTAGCTTCACCTCTGCATGCACTGGAGCTAGGACTGGCCCTGGGGGCTGCAGGCAGGATCCTGGGCTGGAATCTGCCTCTGGGGTGTGACGGTCTCACCCTGAAGCGGAGGTGGAATGGCTGTTCTTGGAGTGAGACGCCCCCAGCAATGTCTCAGATCAAGCACACGCTCTCCAGAGAGCTTTGCAGAGGTGTCACAGTGAGTCCTGTTGGACACAGAGCAGGACAGACCCTAGGCCCTTCTGCACCGAGCATACAGGCCCCTACCACACGAACTGAAGGAGCTGTTTGCCTTGATGTGGGCTGCTGCTAGTGGGAGATCTGGCCATGTGCCTTGGCTGCACTTTTGACGCATTTTTGGCCAAAAATAGAGACCTGAGTGCCGGAGCTTGGATCTGAATGGGGGTTGCTTGGATTTGGGCTGGTCCCTTTGGCCCATTTAGATCCAGACATTTTAAGACCAGAAGGGAGCTTTGGATAGTCTAGTCTGACTTCCTATACAACGCAGGGCAGAGGGTCCCCCACTGGTGCCTGCATCCGGCCCGTGTCTTGTGACCAAGCTAGAGCCGATCTCTGAGAAGGGCCCGTGGAGAGAGGGAGGGTGGTGGAATCAGAGGGCATGGACCTAACCCTCCCCAAAGCCCTCGAAGGGTTGGAGCCAGTGCTCTGGTTCGAGGTTTGGGGGAGGTTCAGAGGGTGGTGAAGGAAGCTGTCTGCCAGCTCTAGCCCTGGGGAGAGGGGGATGTCCTGCTGCTGCTGAGAATTCAGGGAAGGGTCTGATACCCCAGAAAGCCCCATGTAGCTCCCAGTGTTAACCCTCCTGTCTGGTGGCCGTCGTCCAGGACGCTACCCCCCAAGGCCATTTAATGTCATGGTGTCTTTGAGCTCCATGGACTTGGACCCCGGAATAATCCCCAGGCGCTGGGTCTGGGCTCTGCCTTACTGCGTGTGCTCTGCTCAGCGCTGCTTCCCCCAGCATAGCTCTGCTCTGTGTCATGCTGCCCGTGGCAGGGCCTCTCTGCTCCTCCTGTACAGGGGGCTCTCGCTGTCCCTGCCTCGCAGGGCTCCAGCAGGGAATTGCAGCCCAGGTTGCTAGGCAGTCCTCGTAACAGGACTGAATCTTCCCTCTGCAGAGACACACACAGTGGAGCTGGATTGCTCGCTGCAAAGCATGTGGGAATCTGGTATCTGACTGCTCAAACCCCCATCTTCCCCCGCCACCATGCGCCTGGGGGCCTGCTTCACATGACTGACTTCATTGTCATAGCTCGGCCTGGCCGAATGCACCCACCTGGCCAGCTCCGTTCGCCTGGGCTAAGAGTTGCAGGTGACCTCCTCTGGGATTGATGGGCCGGCATTTCCCATGCAGCTGAGCCTGGTTATGAACTGTCCTTGACAAGGCCTAAATACAGACATGACGATAGCACCCAGACAGTCCCTACTCCTCCCTTTCCCTTGCAAGCCTCTGCACATCCCCTTTTGGGGCCACCTGCTCTAGGCACAGTTATTTTACTGAGCAAAGACCTTTGAGCAGCTGCTCAGTCTGGTTTTTCCAGAGGCTCTGCCCCCTCTTGTCTCTCTGGCTCCTCCAGCCTTTTACAGCCAAGGGGTGAATTCTTAAAGCCCCGTTGCACCGTCATTCTCCAAATGAGCTGAGCTTCTGTGTCCCATATCCCCTCCCTTATGAGGCAGAACTGGAATGCAACGTAGCTGCGGGTTCCAGGCTTCCCTACTATCCTCCCGCCTTCTGTGGATGAGTCGATCTGCCGGGGCTGCTTCCTGCAGCAGTAAGTTGGTATCGTCGCTGAGAGTTACTGTCTGGCTGCCCGCAGCGAGGGCAGGACCTGTGGCTGTGAGAGCCACTCCAGGGAGCGTCTGTTCTCCTCTCCCGGTGACTCCACACGCAGCACAACTCTTTGGGGATTGGCTTGTCAGGTCCTTACCTGGAGCGCTTCGCTGCCGGGTTCGTCATGGCTATTCAGTGCTTTGCTGCTGACACCAAAGGCGGGAATCCCACGGCTGTGTTCGTGTTGGGTGTGCCCACAGGCCCACCCCGGGATTGGAGCCCACTGCGCTGGGTGCTGTATGCTCTCAGCACTGCGCCTGGGAGCTGGCAGGCTAGGCTATGCCTTAGCTGGTTCAGCATGTGCTAGAGTACAATTGCTTTGTCTGGACTAGAATTCTAGAAGAGACGACAATCCAGCCACACAACACTAAATCATAGTCCAGACAAAGCTGGAGACGACAGATGGTGGGTGGAGCACAAGGTAATCAAGTGGCTGGCATAGACTAGAACTCAACCTCCCAAACACAGCCCTTAGCAGATAGGGGCTAGTTGGCTCCTGCTCACCTTTACGCGAGAGCTTAATCTGAGCATGGGGAAAGATCTGTGGGATTGCTTGTCAAAGAAGTGGTCTGGGCCATGCTGTTGGAAGGGACCAAGTGCTTGGTGTAGGGCACGATCCTGCGTGGGCCTGGCATGGCCATGCTGACTGGGTCAGTCTTTTCTAACTCTTATTTCAGAAACAAAATCTCTACCCCAAGCAGAGTTTCAACCCTGAAAATGAAATCCTGGAGGTCCGCAGGGGACTACGCAGTTGCTGTCGATCTTACAAGGAAGGGTCTTGGATACTGTCTTCATGGGTGGGAGGGTAAAAATAGATAGATTTCACTGTCAGTGCCTGGTCTCTGGTTTTCACATCTGCTTCTTTCTCTTACTGGCTGGGCTCCAGATTCTCTAACACAAGCTCAGTCATTCTGCTCCTGGCACTTACCCAAGGCTCTGTTTTGCCCTGGGTGCTGTAGGCAGTGTGACCTCTAGGACTAGCCAAGGTCACTTTGACTGGCAGCAGAAGGCCCTTTGTGCACAGCTGCCCTCTGTGGCTATGCGGGAGGTGGAGGATTGAGGGGGCTTGGGCAGGTCCCCCTGGATCTTGAGGGGCTGGCTTGTGCACAGCTGGACGCTGGCAGCCTCATTCTTGCTGCATCTCGGGGTTCTCTTGGGGCCGAGGGTTGTGAGGGATGTAGCCTCTCCCTGGAGCTGTGCGGCTCAGTGTCCGGTGCTGCATTAATGGACGTGGAGCGGGGAGTTCCCACCATGGCACTGACGGGAGGAGACGGGATGTCGTGTCAGCCTGGCCCATTGCAGCTCACCAGCACTGGCAGCTTCGGAGCCTGCCTGATGGATAGCTATTCAGAGCCGGCAGCTGCCTCCACCACCACGCTGAGCAAACCAGCGGTCGTTGTCCAGGCATCTTGTGTGCGGCAGTCACTGCACTCAGCCTGCCTCTCCTGGCTCCTTCGGGGACCCCCGCCCGTGAGAGCCTCCTCTTCTCACAGGAATATCCGGGCTGCAGTATCCACATGTCCGCTTGAGGGGGTGCCTCTGCTTTTCCTCCCTGACGCAAATACAGCCTTTGCAGAAGGGTCTGGCACTGATAACCCCGCTGGAGGGGTTTTGGGATGGGCAGTGTCCAGCCCTGGACTCAGGCCAGGAGGCACTGCTAGGCCAAGAGACCAGTGACTGTGTGAAGGTTGGACGGCAGGGCTGGTAGCAATGGTTTATCTGCCTGAGAACCTTCGGAAGGGGATTCCTGGGGAGGTTGCTGTCTAGCTGTAGTGGCTTGCCAGATATCGGACCATAATGCTGCTGATTGGATTCTCATGCTCTTTACTTCCTCCTTCAGTCATCAATTGATGTTGTCAGCCACGCTCTCAAGAACATGTAGAGCTAGAAGTGACTGTGTTCTGCCTCCTGCAGCTCTAGCAGTCTGTGGCAGATCAGCTGCTGAAGCCCTGTTGTGATTGCTGTAGGAGAGAAGCCAGGTGGCCATGGGAAGACCGTGATCTGCATGACCTAAATCACCATACTAACCAGAGCTGAAAGCATGTGGTGGGACTGGTGTGCGGATACCTCCGGAGCAGTACGTGGGTCTTGGTCCTGTGAGCCGGCAGTTCAGTTCCTTTTTGTCCCTGTTACCTGGGACTGGGTAACTAACGGATACAGGAATTAGCGTCACTGGTGCATGAATGGTGCTGGTCTGGGGAGATGTCCCTGCAGCATCAGCAGTCCCTGAAGGGTTAAGTATGTTTGAGCTAGACCATCACAGCTGGATTCTTTGACCCAGCTTCTCCAGACTCAGACGGGCTTTTCAAGTGGGAGGTGTCACCAAGTGCCTTCTGCGGAGTTCAAGGAGTGGAGACACGGTGTGGTGTTGCTCTGACAGCCAGCCAGGGGAGGTTGGTGGTGACAGATGTGGATGGATTGAATAATTCACCTTTTCACCCAGAGATCTTTGAGCTCTTTGCAGAGGCGGGTGAGTATCATCCATGTTTTACAGATGGGAGACCGAGGCACAGAGTCTCTCTGGAACCCAGGTCTCCTGGCTCCCAGCCCAGTGCCCTGTCCACATGGCAAATCACAGGAAAGCTTGGCTTGAGTATCAGTTGCTGTTGACTGAACTGTGGAATTGTCTCCCGAGGGAAGCAGTGGAAGCCCTTTGCTTAGCCCGCATGTAGTGCTTGTGTGTTCCCACGGGGCACAGCCTGTCAGAGGCTGCCTGGAGCCTTGAGGGCTTGAGGCACTTGCTTCAGTGACTCTCCCTGGGGTGCAGCCTCTAAACTGCTGTTTCTCCTTGTGTGTTTCAGGCTCTCCTTTCACAGCCCGTTGCTGAGTTTCCAGGATGCAGGCCCAGTCTGTGCTCCACAGTGGCTACTTCCACCCTGTGCTGCGCTCCTGGCAGACCTCGGCCACGGCCTTCGATGCCTCTAACCTCATCTACCCCATCTTTGTCACGTAAGTGAGGGCTGGAGCCTGTGCTCCCAGCTGGGAAGGCGAGAGGAGATCTCTTGGGGACAGACAGAGCCCTTGGAGCAGCTTCCTTGCTTCAGAGGAGGTCACACAAAGGGGCAGCAGCTCCCGGCTAGTGTACAACCCCTGAGTCTGCAAGCCACCCACCTAGGGACGGGAGAGCTGCCATCCTGAGCAGAGCCGTGGTCCCTCTACACCAGCATCCTGCCTTTGGCTGAGTGTGCAATGGGAGGGGCAGGGCAGCTGCTCTGAATTCCCTTCGCTGCGGAAGTGGCCATGGGCATGTCACCCCATAGTAACCTCTGTCTCCGAGGGGAAACTGCTCACTGCCACCCTTCCCTGGACCTGAATCAGCTTGTCATCTGTGACCGGCCTGGCGCCTCCCCTGGGGCGGTTTTTTAACCCTCCCAGAAATGCCAGGGCTGCTGAGCTGAGATGTCTGTCCTGGGGCGGCAGAGCCTGTCTGCATGCACTGCCCAGTGGGGGCGGTTTCTGACGTGGTCTATGGGACGCTGGCAGGCTTGGAGCTGTACATCCCCTCCTCAGCATGCTGTGTTTCAATGAGGCCATGACCCCTGTGGAATCTGGTGTGACAAAGTGGGGATTTTCCCTTGTTATGTGAGCGTTACTGTTTTGTATGAATGCTGTGTGTGCCTCAGTTTCCCCTCAGTGTATTGCACCAGTATCTAGGTGGTGGGAATAAGGGTGTGTGACTTTTGTGGGGGTTGCTCCTGCACAGATGCTGCCTGCACAGATGCTGCACAGAGGGAGAACCAGAGCCTGGCTCTGGGCTCCCCTCCCCCCAAGATGGACTTGGCTGAAAGTCACTGATTTCTGTGCTAACAAGTTCCTGTCCTACGTTGTGTTCCTATCGACTAATAAACCTTCTGTTTTACCAGCTGGCTGAGAGTCAGGGTGCAGGGCCCTCTGGCTTCCCACAGCAAGTCCTCATCTGGTGCAGCCACGCCAGGGTGCGTGGTCCATGTACACAATGAAGCGCCGCCCAAATAGATCCGGCTCCAGCCTTTTAAGAGCCCTCTCTATGGCTGCACAGCTGAATGCTCTGAGGTCAGACCCAGAAACATCGAAGCTGTGTAAGCTTCTTGCCCTGGAGACAGTCTGCTCACAGAGAGGAGGCTCCCCCAGAGTCCTGACTGGCTTCATAGGGAGTAGTTCCAGAGCATTGCCTGGTGACGCCGTGACATCTGGTCTCTTGGACGGTTCACCAGGCTGTGAATTTGCTTCATTGTGAGCCCCTCCCTGAGTGGCACCTGCCACAGCCTCTGGGGCTCGGGGTAAACCTGGCCTGGTTGCTCTCAGGGCTGGGCTCTCCTGGGCAGTGACGTTCTCTGCCTGTGCTGGGAAGAGCCCATGCAGATGATCCTCTGTAGCTAGCACTGGAGGCAGAACTGGCCAAGCGCTGGTCTCTGCCCGCTGCGGTGACTCTTAAGGTGGCACTTGGGACGAAGCTTGCTGGCCCTCCCAGCTGCAAGGGAAATGCAGCGTGTGCGGCTGGGGTCGGGGCTTCCTCCTCTCTTCTCCCCGCTTCCGTCCCCCCAAGAGCAGCATGAGACCCTGCGGATCAGGCTCAGGAAGTTGAGACTGTAACCCCTAGAGAGCCGGAGAGCTCCCTTTGTAACCTGCCTTGGCCCTGCTGCTGCATGGCCTTGTTCTACTCTCTGGTGAGCTCCCGGTGGCTCTGCACTGCAGTGTCGAGGTCTAAGCTGCTGGCCCACAGGTGGATGTTGCTTCGGCTCATTGCAGAGCTCCTGCTCTGGGACTGGAGTGGCAAGGGGGTGGGATGCCTGTTCCTGCTGCTCTCCAGCACTCCCAGGCCCACAGGGAGAAGGAAGCTGCCTGGCATTGGGCCCCGGACGCTGTGTTTCTGGGAACTGAGCAGCTGGTGCAGGGAATGGCTGAGCCCAATCTCTGACTCGCTCGCTCAGCTGCCCGACTTTACACACAGCCGACATATCCGGTCACGGGGCTCTCCCTGCTTGCAGCTTCACTTTGTGGAGAGCCCAACTCTCACTGGCTGTTTGTCCTGTTTGACTCCCCAGTGACAGCCCCGACGCAGTGGAGCCAATCGCCAGCCTCCCCGGACAGGCCAGGTAGGAGTCTGCGGAGATCCTTGTGTTAGGGCTGTTCTGCAATCCGGACAGTGCTCCCTGCCGTGCACCTTATCTCAAGGGACGGGGCCTGAGACTGCCCAGCTCCAGGCTGCAGGGGTCAGGGTTGGGGGCTTTTATTGGCCATTCTGTGTCCTCCATCTGGGTCTAGCCAAGGACAACGGAGCCCCCACTGCCTCCATGTTGGGGATGCGCATGGCACCCAGCAGCTGGAGGGATTCTGGGAGCTGCACAAGGACACAGGGGAGGATGAACTGAGAATACACCTCCAACTGTGAGCACTCACTGGGGCACTATGGGATAGCTACCAGGAATTCCCATAATGCACCAGTTAATTCCAGTAGCAGCAGGTGTTCCCTTTTAAGGCTGCTCTTCCCGTAGAGCGCATTGGCCCTGGCCGAGCCATGGATCTTACCAGGCTCCTGGCAGCCATGCTCGGAGGCTGCCATTGTTGTCAGCAGGGCTCTGGCCTGGCTCCCCTGGCACTTGTGGAGGGGGATGTCGTGCCTGAGAAGTGGGCAGTGGCAAGGTGGGAGCTGGGGGCTGGGGTTTTTAGAATAAAATCCCTGCCCGTTTAAGTCTGGGGGACCTTGGTGGCAGGAGCTGGGGCTGAACAAGGGCAGTGCCTTCTGCCCTGTCATGCCCTGGGCCTTTCTGCCAGCAGCGGTGCTGCTGGGCTTGGGGAATTGGTCCCGCTCACTGTCAGGACGGAGGGCAACCCTCTGAGACCTCTCCCCCACCCCCCCTCCCCACCCCAGTGGGGTGGTGGCTCCCACAGACGCCCTCCATGCATTTCCTGGCACTGCTGGTCCTACCTCCAGAGCCGAAGTCGTGTAGAGCTGAGCCGCAAGTGTGAGGCTGGGCAGGGCCTTGTAATGAACGGGGAGATAATGGAGCGTCCCAGGGCAGAGCCCTCGCGCTGGGCTCGTCCCCAGGCAGCAGATAGAACACCAGCCAGCCTTGCCACTGCCCCCTGCCCCTTGGGAACCCCAGATAAGGCTCCAGGCTGCTCCTCCCACAGCTGCTCCCAAGATCTCCAGAGGCATCTGCTCTTGCTGAATGCTCAGCTGCCTGCAAAGCTCTTCACTAAGTGGGACTGAAACCTGCCCTGTCCCCGTTCAGGAAGCAAGGACAGGGTAAAAGTCACTGAGTGTTGGCCTTGTCCCCTGGCCAGGCCGGTGCGGGGGAAGGTGGGGAGGGGGAGAGCATGGAGTGTTCACCAGGACCCCCCCTTCCCCCCCAATCCAGGCACCTCCACGCAACAGCACTGGCAGGGCAGGAATGGCCGTGAAAAACCCCTCTGGGATGGGGGAGGAGAATGGGAGAGTCGGCACTGACCCTCTGTGGGCAGAGTGGGAGACACATGCAGCTCTCCCTATGCTGGGGGCAAGGCCAGCCTGGCAGCAGGTGCCAGGAGTTCCCTGTTGGGTGGCATGGTGAGAGGCCCAGTCCCCTGCAGTGCCTGAGGGCTGGCTACACAGGCCTCCCCGGAAGAGAGGGAACTTGGCCTTGGCACTGAGGAGGGTTAATGATGGGCAGGGCCACGCCCGGCTAGTCGCAGCCCTTTGGGCTGTGTGGGGGCTGCTTCTTGGGGATCCTTGTTGTTTGAGAGGTGCGCTGCCCTGGGAATGGCCCTGCTCGGGGACACTGGTCTGGCACCCGGGCTGCCTGTGGGTAGCAGCCTGCCCAGCAGTGCCTGGCCTGCCGAGGGGCTGCGTGCACTAACCTAGCTCAGAGCCCCGGCTGATTTGTGGGTGGGAGGAGCACTGCGGTGGCCCTCCAGCACCACCCCCACACCTGTGTTCTTCTAGGTATGGAGTCAACAAGCTGGAGGGGATGCTCCGCCCCCTAGTGGACGAGGGGCTGAAGTGCGTGTTGATCTTTGGTGTCCCCACTAAAGTCCCCAAGGTTGGTGGGGGTGAAGGGTCACAGGGGTGTTTAATGCAGGGGCAGAGGTAGAACTGAGGGATTGGGGTTGAAGGGTTATGGGGTGTTTAATGCAGGGGCACAGGTAGAACTGAGGGATTGGGGGTGAAGGGTTATGGGGTGTTTAATGCAGGGGCAGAGGTAGAACTGAGGGATTGGGGATGAAGGGTTATGGGGTGTTTAATGCAAGGGCACAGGTAGAACTGAGGGATTGGGGGTGAAGGGTTATGGGGTGTTTAATGCAGGGGCACAGGTAGAACTGAGGGATTGGGGGTGAAGGGTTATGGGGTGTTTAATGCAGGGGCACAGGTAGAACTGAGGGATTGGGGGCAGATCAGCTGGGAGGTTCATAGTCACCGGCTTTGTCCTTCAGTTGCATTTTCACTTGTTCTCTGAGATCTTGGGCTCTGGCTTGTCAGATCTTGTAGGCTAAGCAGGGTAGAGAGAGGACAGCACTTGGATGGGAGACCTCCCCAGTCCATCCCAAGTGATATGGGTGGCTGTGGAGTATGCTGTCCTCGTCCGTGCTGACCCCAGTGCCACCCAGTGTGGCGCTAGGGGTGCGGCGCTGCAGGGAGAGGTGCAGATGACTCAGTAGGGGGCGCTCACCCATAGTGTTGACACCTGGGTGGTGCTAGGGGGCAGTACTGTGCTGTGGGAACAGGGTGGATAGCTCAATAGGGAGCACGCTCTCCATTAGTCACTGGGGGAGCTGCTGGCGTTGGGATGAGATGTAAATCCACATCTGATCCCTTGCTGTTCCAAAAACTCCCTGGGCCCTTTCCAGGCTCCAGTTCCAACTGGATGTGGGACCCTCCTTCCTACACCCTCAGCTGTGTGCAGAGCAGCTGCACCTTCATGCCCATGCAGGGTCTGTGTTTCTGTGTGGGGCAAGGGGACCCGGCAGAGAGGTGAAGCCTTTGGCCCTGTGGATTTACAGGGGAGCATCTCTTCCCCCTGCAGGATGAAAGGGGCTCGGCTGCCGACGTTGAGAACACCCCAGCCATCCAGGCCATAAAGAAGATCTGTTCCTCTTTCCCAGAGCTGCTGATTGCCTGTGATGTCTGCCTGTGCCCCTATACCTCTCACGGGCACTGCGGTGAGCACCAGGGCAGCCACTCACCCACCCTCCTCTGCATGGATCGATGGCCACGAGATGAGCCAGGCTGCCGGCTGGGAGGGGAGGAAGGGCCTCGCTGGTGTGTGCTCAGCTAGTGGGCTCTTTGCTGGGGATGCGCCCTGCCCCCTGTCCGCACATGACTTCGTGGTGCGATGTGCTGGCTATGCCAGGGCACTGAGCGTGGAGGCCAGGGGACCCTGGGGGGGTAGGCAGAATTAGATCAAAGGCTGCAGTGACTGAACGATGCACAGCCGGCCACTCCATTCTCCTCACACGTGGTCCCACAGCCAGGTGTGAGAGTTAGTTCTCTGGGCTCTGCCTGCCAGGGCCCTCCCTCCCCAGCATGACCACTGCGGCCCCCCCTCCTTTGTCCTAACCCTCCTCCCTCAGCAGTTGGGATGGACACAGCACCTCCAGCCGGCAGGGCCTTGGTCTTCTAGTTGGCTTCCTTGGCCTCACCCCAAGCTGTGCCAAACCCCGCACCATATTTCAGCCGTCTCCAGGAACCTGCTCCCCCCGCCCAGTCACACCCTGCAATCCTGCAGAGCTGGGTGTGGCGTGGGGCTCTCTCCCTTCTCCAGTGGTTCCTGTGCAGAGGGCTCCTGGCAGTTCTGGCTGGTGCTCTGTGCTCCCCGTCTAACCCTGGGCTTGTCTTGCAGGGATCCTGCGGAAGGATGGCACCATCCAGAATGAGGCCAGCTGCCAGCGGCTGGCAGAGGTGTCACTAGCCTATGCTAAGGCAGGTGAGAGGGGTTCCCAGCAGCAGCGGGTTCTTGCTGGCTGCCTGGCTTCACCCTGCTTGTTGGCCCTACCAGGAACATACCTGAGCAGTGCTGAGGGGGGTAGCAGCCGCTGGCCTCTCCTTGCGGGGCTGTGAGCCCATCCTATCTCCCCTCGACTCCACCTGCAGCTCCTGGGCACTGGGGTGTCTGAACCAGTTGCTCTCCTCCAGCAGGTCCTGGCTGCTGGGACATCAATTTTGAGTCCCCCCCCCCCATGGCCAGGAATGGCTCCTGGAGCAGGGACTGCTCCTTGCAGTTCTTCAGTGCCCGTGCTCTCTCCCTGCAGGATGCCACATCGTGGCCCCCTCGGACATGATGGACGGACGCATCGCAGCCATGAAAGAGGCTCTGATCTCCAATAACATGGGCAACAAGGTGGGCAGGGGCAGCACGCACGCCGGGATCGGTCCGGGCTCAGTATGGAGCGATGTCACAGCTGGACCTGTGTGCGTAGCGCAGGGGAGATGGTATGGAACAGGGCCTGTGGAGAAGGGCGCTCCCTTCTTTCCACAGTGGTAGGCCGGGGCGTCCGGTGGTAGCTTCCATGGGGCCACAGGGAGGGACTTCCAGTGGATGGGAAGGGCATGCCTGTGGATGAGGAGGAGGGGTGATGCCAGGGCTCCTGCCTGGGGGGTTGGAAAACAGTACAAGAGAATTGCAGCAGAGACTTTCTCCCCCAGCTCCACGCTGGGCTGGGAGGCAACTGTGGTGTCCCTGCCATGTCTCTCCTGCCCCCTGCAGGTCTCTGTGATGAGCTACAGCGCCAAGTTTGCTTCCTGTTTCTATGGCCCTTTCAGGTGAGTGTCTCCAAGGGCAGGGGTGAGTGTGAGCCGTGTGTTGGCCGGGCTCCGTGTCTAACCCCAAAGGGTTTGTGCTTGGCCTGCAGATCCAAGCAATTTGAACGTAGGACTCCGGAGCCCCGAGCTCTGGGTCTGGGACTCACACTAACTTGCGCTGAGCTTCGTGTCTCAGTTTCCCCATGTGTAAAGCGGGGAATGTATCTCCTTCTCCAGGAAAGGGATGGGGAGGGCAGACTAGTATTTGCTCCCACACAGGGATTTTCATCTGTCCCTCAGAGTATAGCTCTGCAGAGATTCACTCTTCCTCCTGCCAAGCCTGGAGATGACTTCTCCTGCCACCTGGCTTCAGCTCTGTTTCTTGTCAGTGCTCTCAGCCCTGCGAGCTGCTTCTCAAGTAGGGACACCTGGGGCAGGAGCGGGAGTGTGGACTCAACTGGAACTGCTGCAGAACTGCACAGAGCCCATCTCACCCCAGAGAGGGAGTGTTGGGGATGGTCCCAACTTGCTGGGCTAGCAGGGCCATTGAGGGCTGAGCTCTGGCTCAGAAAAGTGGGGAGAGGTGGGTGTGACGGGTTCGGTCACAGAGACCCCCTTGGGACTGTCACCTGATGTGCTGAGACTACCTCTGAGCCCATTTTTCCTGTCAGCTTGGGACTCCAGAACCCTGCCTTGTTGAGCCAGACACGCAAACCTGCTGCAACACAGACCCAGGTCAGGTCCATGCCCCCAAAGCTGCAGACTTTAACCAAAAACTGCTTAGCAGTTCACCTATCTCCAGACACCCAGTTCCCAATAGGATCCAAACCCCAAATAAATCCATTTTACTCTGTATAAAGCTTATACAGAGTAAACTCATAAATTGTCCACTCTCTATAACACTGATAGAGAGAAATGCACAGCTGTTTGCTCCCCCAGGTGTTAATCACTTACTCTGGGTTAATTAATAAACAAAAGTGATTTTATTAAGTATAAAAAGTAGGATTTAAGTGGTTCCAAGTAATAACAGAGAGAACAAAGTAAGTTACCAAGCAAAATAAAACAAAACACACAAGTCTAAGCCTAATACATTAAGAAACTGAATACAGGTAAATCTCACCCTCAGAGATGTTCCAATAAGCTTCTTTCACAGACTGGACTCCTTCCTCGTCTGGGCCCAGTCCTTTCCCTGGTACAATCCTTGTTAGTTCCCCTTGTAACTAGGGGAATTCTAATGTCTGCAGCCCCCTTTGTTCTCCTCCATCCCCTTCTATAGTTTGGCGCAAGGCAGGAATCCTTTGTATCTCTCTCTGGGTTCCCACCCCACCTTCTAAATGCAAAAGCACCAGGTTTAAGATGAATTCCAGTATCATGTGACTTGGTCACATGTCCTGCGAGATTTGCATAATTACAGTAGGACCTCAGAGTTGTGCTGCATATTCCTAGCTTCAGATCCAAGAATGATACATTCATACAAATAGGATGAGCACACCCAGTAGATCACAAGTTTTGTAATGATACCTTACAAGGGACCTTTTGCATAAAGCATGTTCCAGTTACATCATAGCCACACTCATTATCATATTTCCATAAAACATGTGGAGTGCAACGTCACAGTGGGGTCTGAACTAACTCATTCCAGACCCTAGAGCAGAAGTCCCCAAACTGTGGGGCATGCCCCCCCTAGGGGGGCATGGAGGAACATTCAGTGGGGGGGGGCATGCCATCCAGCTCCACTTCTGGCCCCATCCCCCGTTGCCAGCCTCAGCCCCAGGCCAAGGCTCCCTTACCCCATCTGTGACCCTGCTTCCAGCCCTGGGGAGTATGAGGTAAAAAGTTTGGGAACCACTGCCCTAGGGGAGCTGGGGGTGATGGACTGTGTTATTGCAGCCTGTGCGCTTGCTGGGGCGGGGCTGTGTCACAGATTTATGGGATCAGTGCTATGCTCCAGCTTTGGAACAGTCTCTAGGAGGAACCCCTGCAGTGTGCCAGACCTGCTGGGGTCTCACTCTTCCTCCAAAGTAAGCCACATGGCCTCCCCACCTCCTTAGACTGGACCTCTGAGCCATCAGCTCCCCTGCTACATGGCGGGAGCTCTGTCCAGCAAGTCCACCTGAGACAGACTCGTGGCAGAGACTTGTATGCTCTGCAGGGATTAACGCACCTCCGCGAGCGTTTGCAGTAACACTCGGCACGTCTACACTGAAAATGCTACATTGGCACAGCTGCGCTGCTGTAGTGTTTTAATGAAGAGAGATTTCCCATTGGCTTAGTTAATCCACCTCCCCTAGAGGCAATAGCTTTGTCTCCAGGAGAAGTTCTCCTGCCAACATAGCGCTGGCTACACGGGGAGTTACGTTGGTGGTATTATGTCGCTCAGAGGATGGATTTTTCAGTTATACTGATATAGATCTGTAGTGTAGACCAGACCTCAAACAGCACTGTCAAATCAGTTGGGTTTATTAGTCAGCTGGAACACAGCATAGGAAGTCCTTAGGTTGGCAGAGAGAATTAAAGGTTAAAGCACAGACCATTCTGGTCAGCCCAGAGCCCAGCCAAGCTGTAGTCAACCCCACTGCTGAAGCTCTGTGTGTGTCCATCCAACTTCCTTGGTCAGTTCCCAGGTGAGAGCCCAGACTCCTTCCAGCAGCCAACTCTTATCCTCCACCTCACACCTCCCAGTCCTTTGTTCTCCAGCTGAGAGGGGGGAAATCTACCTCCCTACTAGGTGTCAGTCATGTTGATTGGATTTGCCATTGTCCTTGGGCCACTCATTTTTAATGACCCATCCCGGCTTAGGGCACGGCTACACTGAGGCCATGTCTACACTTACAAATTGTGCTGCTGTAAGATCACGCCAGTAGCCGCGGTATGCCGATGGGCGAGAGCTCTCCTGTCGACATCATAAAACCAGGTCAATGAGTGGCGGTCCTACTATGTTGTCAGGAGAGGCTTTCCCACCTATAGCGCTGTGCACACCAGTCCTTATGCCAGCAAAACTTACGTCTCTCAGGGGGATGCTTTTTTCACACCCCTGAACAACAGAAGTTTTGCCTACATAAGCGCTAGTGTAGACATGGCCTGAGAGTTTACAGCAGTGCAGCTGCGCCACTGTACGCTCTTTAATGTAGCTGCTCTCAATCTACGGGAGAAAACTTTCCTCTCGGCTTAACTACTCCAGCCCTGCAAGCAGCCGGAGCCTGTCGGCAAGAGAAGCTCTCGATCAACATAGCTCTGTCCACACCGGCGCGTCTGTCGGTGTAACTTATGTTGCTCTGTGGGGTGGTTTATTCACATCCCTGAGTGACATAAGTTTTGCCGACATAAGCTGTAGTATAGGCAGAGCCTCAGACAGCCAGGCAATATTCACGCCTACGTCTCTTAACCTGCCCTGAGAGCAAACTGCTCCCCACCCTCCTCAACTGGGCAGCCTTGCAAAATATGAAGGAAACTGATGCACACACAGGCTTCATAAAAATATTACAAAAATTCCCACTTTGTCACAGGCCGCCAGGCCTCACTGGAGGGCAGAGTTCTCTCTGGTGGGATTTCAGGGTGGCTAAGCAAGCCGCTGCCTCCTGGATTGGGAGAAGGATGGGATTCTACTAAGGTACCTCTTTCCCCCGGCTTTGCTCCGCCCCAGCAAGGGGGTCGCTACGGGCAGGTCGCCTGGTGCCTAGGCTCTCCTGGGAGGGAGGTGCTGGTTCCTGGGAGTTCTCTGAAGCCAGACTGCTGATTTACTGCCTGGTGTCTCCTTTGTGTTCCCAGAGACGCTGCGCTGTCCAAACCTGCATTCGGAGACCGACGATGTTACCAGCTTCCCCCAGGCGCCCGGGGCCTGGCCCTGCGAGCTGTGGTGAGTGAGCCTGCCCACAGGGGGCACCACCCATGGGCCCACAGCCCAGCTGCCCTAGGCAGTAGGTGTTGGTGTCACAGTAATGTCCTGCAGCAGAGTGAATCCCAGCATGGCTAGGTGCCAAGAGCTGCCCTCTCCTGCAGGCTGATCCGTGGGCTGAGTGTGGAGGTGGGTCTCCGCTCCCCTCCAAGACCTGACTTCTTTCCATGACAGGAATGGGCGTCACGGTGTGGCAGATCCTCGGGACCCCTGGCCTGTTGTACCTGCCCTGGGACAACCTGGGCAGCAGCAGGGCAAGCCTGTCCCACCGATTAGACCCCACCTCACCTGGAGGGTGGGCCCAGTCAGGGCCCAGGGAAGCATTCCCATGGTGCTGTGAGGTGGGAGCAGCCAGGTGTGGCTCTGGCCTGGAACAGTTGAGGATCTCCTGCAGCGACCTGCGGGACTGCTAACTCCTGGGGTTGTCCAGCTTAGCAATGCCAAGCAGCTGGGCCTCTCCTGGCTTCACTTGGCATGTGGACCTGAGGATTCAGCTCAGCAGAGGATGCTGTTGGTAGCTGTCACGTTGGCCTTATGCATGTTACTGCTGCTCTTTTTGTCACAACCACAATCTCCATGCACATCCGCCATTTTCGGGCAAACCCATCCTCTAGCAAAGAGCTGAGTAGGCTTCCCCGTCTCCTGCTCCAGCCCCTGCTTGCCCAGAGATCCTAGGGCCTGCAGAGGCCATGAGCCCAGCTCAGCCCCTCTGATCCAGCTTGCAATGGCTCACGTTTGTCAGTCACACAGAGCAGTGAGTGGGCTGAGCCAACACCAGCTCTGTGGGCAGGGGAGGGGGTGTTGTGTTTGGGTCTAACATGAAGGAGCCTCAGCCTCTGGCGGCTGGCCTGGGCAAGCGCACCGTTCCCCTCATGGTCTTCCTCCTTGAAACGCAGACCCGCTGTCATCCCTTTCATATCACACAGCCTAGGGGATCGTCTCCCTTCCTGTGTGGGAGTGGGGCTGACTGCAGGATGGCTCCTGCTGGCCTGCCCTTAGCTGTGCTCTGTTTGTTGCTGGTGCCATGCGGAGCACAAAGGGTGCTAGGAAGACCGGACTGTCCCCTGGAAGGGGCTCTCCCCTCCCACTGGGGCCAGGACCTGGGAGGCAGCCATCAGGCTGACTCGCTGGTCCCCCCACCCCCCAGTCCCTGTGCTGTTCTCACAGGCCCCCGCCCTGACCTGTTCTCTCCTTGCAGGACCGGGATGTGCGGGAGGGAGCAGACATGCTGATGGTGAAGCCGGGGATGCCCTACCTCGACCTTGTGAGAGATGTCAAGGCCAAAGTGAGCCCTGTTTGGCAGGGACTGTCTCTAGAGATGGGGCACAGAGTGGGTGGCTGTAGAGTGGGCATTGGGCTCGACCAAGAGACTAAAGCCAGAGGGGACAATCCCCTGGGCCTAGCAGAGGGCAGAAAAGGCCCTGAGCCGTGAGTGCAGCAGTGTACAAGCTGCAGCACAGTCCTAGACCCTGGAGCACCTTCCAATCGATTTACCCTAGGGGGAGGCTCCTCGGCACTGTGCTCCCCATGGGCATGTTGCTGTAGCTCCCACCAATAGAGTGAGTTGGGGGAGAGGGAGCATCTTGCTCTGGCTGGGATAATGGTTGGCTGCTTAGACCCCGGTGTTTTGTTAACGTGCCCATCTGGGATGGGAAGCCTTGCTGCTTGGAAGCTCTGCCCTGAATCCTCCCAGTTACTGGAGCTGTGTGTTTCTAACCCTAGCCATTCAAACACTGACAACCGGCCCGTGAAGTGGTGGCACCTGCCATCCCCCCGAAGATCCTGATCTCGTGGGTGGGGTTGCTAAGGGCACACTGCAGACACTGCTCCCTCTAACTCCCAAGGCCTTGAGAGTCGGTGGCTACAGAACAACCTGCCTTGAGCCCCTGCTTTGCTGCCAGCACTGCAGGACTCGGCAGGGCTGGGTCATGCAGCTTGGGGGTCAGGGTTGTCTCACTGACCTTCCTACTGCTGTTTTCAGCATCCAGCCCACCCGCTGGCTGTTTACCACGTGTCGGGGGAGTTTGCCATGCTGTGGCACGGAGCACAGGCAGGGGCCTTTAGCCTAAAGGCTGCTGTCATGGAAGTGATGACCGGGTTCAGGCGAGCAGGTGAGTGAGGCTGGGCAGGGTCAGCGTTATGACTAGCAGGGCCCCAAGCTGCTGGAGGAACTGGGGTTCTGGATTCTCTTCCCCTCTGGGCCCCTGCGGTGGTGGGGCAGCCTGAACCCTGGGAGTCCCCCAAGACTATGGGACCATAGTCTTGGGGGAGGGATAGCTCAGTGGTTTGAGCATTGGCCTGCTAAACGCAGGGTTGTGAGTTCAATCCATAGTCTAGGGGGGAGGGATAGCTCAGTGGTTTGAGCATTGGCCTGCTAAACCCAGGGTTGTGAGTTCAATCCTTGAGGGGGCCATTTAGGGATCTGGGGCAAAAATTGAGGATTGGTCCTGCTTTGAGCAGAGGGTTGGACAAGATGATCTCCTGAGGTCCCTTCCAACTCTGATATTCTATGATTCTATGACCAGTCACAGTCATGACTGTGCTGGAGGCTGACCCTGGAATGCAGAGCCAGGCCCAGTGGAACTCCGAACTCCTCAATCCTTTAACAAAAGCCGATTTCTAAAGCACCGTAGCACTGCCCCACACGGCCTGTGCTTTTCCAGCCAGCTTGGTAGCAATCCAAGTAGAGTTCTCTCTGGCTTCTTAGGAGACACGAAGTGTGGTTATATAGGGGGCCTGAGAGCCCGGACTCCTGGGTTCTACTCCAGCTCGGCCACCTCCTGGGTGACCTGGCGAGTTGTTGCACCTCTTGGCTCCTCATCTAGCAAAGGGGTTTCTGCCTTCCCCAGGCTGCAGGGAGCCCACTGGATGAAAGGGGCTGTACAGGAATCTATTCACTGGGGCTTATTTCTGAATGTATCTTCCTGGGAGAAAACAGCCCAAGCTCAGCAGCCTTTCGCCTGATTCCTGATTTAGAGCCCAGGCTCCAGCTCCTTTAGCTGAGACACAACGAACCCAGCTCCAGTCCTGCTGTGACTCTGTGGAATCCCCCGTCCTCCCAGCTGCATTCCTGTGATCCGATCATGAGACCGGCTCCCCTCTTGGAGCTGGCTCCTATGGGAATTCCCCACTGGCTGGTGCTTGTTGTTAAGAAATATGTCAGAGCAGGTTTCCAAAACCCTCAGAGGAGATGGGCGAGTTCTTGACTGGAATGTTGGTCCATGGGTTGAGGTATACATTCAGAACTGTAAGCTCCCCACGGTGATGCGAGGCCATGGGAATTGTACCTCAGAATCATTGTTCTAGGCTGTCTGCAGGCTCAGGCATATCTCCCTGCTTTGTTCATCCCCAGGCATGGTTAGAAGGTTTTCTCAGCAGCAGTGGGGTGTAGGAACCCAGGGAGCTGAGATTCTGGAGAAGCTGAATGTCATGTGGGCCACACCCACAGTACTGGTGTCTGACCCAACCCTGCAGGCTGTATGTTGGAGTCCCTGGGGGCTGGCTGGTGGGAGGGAGAGATGCAGCTCCTTGGCATGGAGTGGGACTGTCTCCCTTTGTGGAGCATGGGAATGCTGGCCTGATACTGTGTCTAGCAACTCCTCACGCGTTCCTTGCTGCTGCATTCCAGGAGCTGATATCATCATTACCTACTATGTGCCCCAGCTCCTGAAGTGGCTGAAGGAGGAACAGGCGTGAAGTGCCTGAGTGAAGACAACACGCAGAAGGAAACCTGCGAGGACCGGAAAGGACTGAAATGCAAAATGAGGATTTTTATGGGGCCTTAGAGATACAAGGCTGAATCCAGCCCCAGCGTAAGCTGGTCCAGCATCACTGGCAGCAGGGGTGCTGCACCTGCCTACACTAAAGCTGACTTTAGCCCAAAGAAGGCAAAGGAAAGCAGTTTTTTAAAAGTGTTATTTTAGAACTGGGCTTAATGCTGAGACCCTCCCCTGGCAGCAAAATGCCTTAGGACCAGAACTGATCTCCCCAGGGACCCACCTTGGAGAGGCACCTTCTTAACATGATTGTTTATTTTAATGTGTCGCTGTGTGACACCAGATGGGCAATTTTTGAGATTCTTTGAAAAGGAAGTGCCCATTCCTGACCGCTCCTCTATCCCAGTGTCCTTCTCAGTGTAGCCTGGGTGTTGGTAACACAGAGAAGGCTGATGTGGGGCAGTTCACCTGCACATTGGTCACAGGAGTGCTAGTTCATTGGGGGTGTCTCAAGTGTTCACTGCAGGTGTTCTCCCTGCAGTACACTAGTGAAATAATTCCTTTTCTGCAGCCCACAGCAGAGCTTTGCTCTCACCTGGTTGGGCTTTGTACGCCGAAACACTGTCTGGTTCACAACCATGGAAGCAGCAATGAATGGCCGGAGGCAGTGCTGGTCAGCCAGACCCTCCACTGACACTCTAACACGCTCCTCTTGTGAACACGCTGTTTCAGACTTTTTAATACGGAGAAATACCCCAAGATGCTTCAGAGCCCTTAGGGAGGAGGGGGTTCCCCTCCACACATGCTCGTGCCTTAAACCTGTTGTCATTGCGTGGAATAGGGAATGTTGACCTCGTTCTGAGCTGTGGCCCTGCTGTCTTGAGGGCAACAGGGCATGTGGGGCTAGGAAGTGACCTCAAGGGCCTCAGAAGTATAATGTTGCTAATGGGCCATTGCACGTTCTGTCTAACATTACTAGGGGTTCTCTTAGCCCTGAGCACCCAGAAGACCAGCTCCTAGCACTCACATTGGCTCTGTCAACTCGCAGTTCAGCTCTGGCCTTTGATTCCCTAAATGCTGTCACCTTATCCAGAAGTATTGTCAAAATAATCTTTCTCTAAAAACCAAGAGCACTAGAAATGTTTCCCTATTTTAAAAATTCCAATGAAAATAATTGTTTTAACCCACTGCTTGTTCCTGGGCCCTGTTTCAAACTCAGCCCTGCAGCAGGCAGAACCAGGCAGTGAAAGTCGCCCTACTGGCTCTGCTGTCCAGTGCACACTTTAAAATTACTTTACCCTAACTGTCCAATGTGGCGTTAGTAACACAGCTGAGTACTTTAATTTGTACCGTGGTTCTTCAGTTGGTCATACTATTATGAAGTCTAGATGTTTTAAATTAATTGCTAGAGCTACTCTGCTTTGTTAGTCTCTAGCAGCAGTGTCTGATATTCAATGCCTGGAGTGAGTTCAGCTGAAAATTAAAAAAACGAAGTCTACAACCAGGGCAACTGATGTTGTTGATAAGGAACAAGGTGGAGGGAACTCCACTGCAACTTCTTGAAGTGGCTAGCACTCTCCTCTGGGTAACAGAGGGATTTAGTTTTAATCTGCATTGCCATAATTTTTGGGATGGGGAAGAGCTGAAAATGTCCTGACTCTTCTGTAGAAGAAGCTGTACTAGTATGCGCAGATCTGTGATCTTCCCTGGAGGTACAGTCACACCAACGGGCATTCCCTGTTCCTCTGACTCATGGAGCAGGTCTGTCAGCCTCTCATCCTGTTATCTTGACAGGTTGTATCCTTTCCAAGAAAAGGACAAGCCCGTCCTCAGCTGAGTTTACAGACTACCAAGAAACAGGGTGTTGCTGACAGATTGGGTGTAGTTTACCTTACAAGCCTCTCTTCCCCTTGATGGTTTGCACAACTGAGCAACTAGAGGAAGACAAGGCCAACCCTCTCTGTAATGATAGGAAGGGGGGAAACTGGGGAAAGCAGAGCAGCGATGCCCTCTGGAGGGGAAGGGAACTTGTTCAAGGATAGAAAGTAGAGTCCTGGGAAAGAAGCTGCCATTCCTGTTTCAGAGTTGAGCGCTCCAGTGTTGCAAGGGTGAATTCACTGGTGTGGGTGAGATGCTCAGTTGCTATGGGGGAGCCCTACAGATTGGTCACTTAGGGGATTACACTTTCTAAGGGATTATGGTAGTCTGCTACTTTCACTGCTGCAGGCCAACCTGCCCAGTGCCCCACAGCTTGTCTGGGTGTGTGAGGGGGAGAGAGCTCTACCTTATGGCTTGGGGGGTGGGGAGACTGTATGCTGGGGTTTGTGGGATTAATTCATATTTAGACCTGATAGAATCCTGTGAATTTTAGGGGTCTGTTCTGATCATGTTTAGCAGAAGGGGTGGGGGGCGTATACAACGCCATGGAATCACCATGTCTGAGAAAAATAAATGCCACTAAAAAGCTGGAAGAGATGGGTTTGAAATACTGCTACAGCTGTAGTGGCTGGAGGAGAGCTAACTTGGCAATGGGAGACTAATCCATTGGTATGAGAGCCGATAACACAAAGTTACAGGTACTTTTGTGTAACAAAGGGAGGTTAAAGGTTAACGCTGTAGTGCTGGAGGTGACCGATGAGACTGTCTGGACCGGCAGCCCTCTCAACAGCTCACTGCTTGCTGAGTGTTTTGCCTTAATATATCATACACATTGTAAGGAGCGTGGTCACTTTAGATAAGCTATTACCAGCAGGAGAGTGGGGTGGGGGGAGAGAAAACCTTTTGTAGTTGATAAACACCCATTTTTTCATGGTCTGTGTGTATAAAAAGTTCTTCTGTATTTTCCACAGTATGCATCCGATGAAGTGAGCTGTAGCTCACGAAAGCTTATGCTCAGATAAATTGGTTAGTCTTTAAGGTGCCACAAGTACTCCTTTTCTTTTTGCCTTAATAGAGAGTTAGACCCATCAGCGGAGTAAGTGTATATCAATCCATGGGGAAGAGGGGGTGTTGGGAGCAGGGGGGAGTGGGGTTGTACCCTACAGCTGGTGGGAGGTCAGAATGGAGGGCGGCTGCACCTCACAGCTGGTGGGGATCAGGGTGGGGGGGCTGTACCCCATGGCCGATGGGGGGCTGCACCCCACGCTGGTGGGGATCAGGGTGGGGGGCTGCACCCCATGGCCGAGAGGGTGGGGGGCTGCACCCCACGCTGGTGGGGATCAGGGTGGGGGGGGCTGCACCCCATGGCCGATGGGGGTGGGGGGCTGCACCTCACAGCTGGTGGGGATCAGGGTGGGGGGGCTGCACCCCATGGCCGATGGGGGTGGGGGGCTGCACCCCACGCTGGTGGGGATCAGGGTGGGGGGGTGCACCCCATGGCCGAGGGGGGTGGGGGGCTGCACCCCACGCTGGTGGGGATCAGGGTGGGGGGCTGCACCCCATGGCCGATGGGGGTGGGGGGCTGCACCCCACGCTGGTGGGGATTACCCCATGGCGATGGGGGTGGGGGCTGCACCCCACGGGGGGGGGCGGACCCCATGGCCGATGGGGGTGGGGGGCTGCACCCCACGCTGGTGGGGATCAGGGTGGGGGGGTGCACCCCATGGCCGAGGGGGGGGGGGGCTGCACCCCACGCTGGTGGGGGGCTGTACCCCATGGCCGATGGGGGTGGGGGGCTGCACCCCACGCTGGTGGGGGGGTGCACCCCACGGCCGATGGGGGTGGGGGGCTGCACCCCACGGCCGATGGGGATCAGGGTGGGGGGCTGCACCCCATGGCCAGGGGGTGGGGCGGCGGGCCGAGCTGTTCGCCGCTCCCGGCGGGTCTCAGCGCCGCGCCGCACGGTAAGTCGCGGGCGGGGGCGGCCTGGCTGCGGCCGGCGACTCCTCCGGAGCGATCCGGGCACGGAGCCGCGTCCTGTGGCGGGGCTCGGGCCGCCCCTCCCGCGGCCCCCGCTCGCCTGGCCGCGTGGATCCCTGCTCCGGCCAGGCCCAGCGGCTGCCCCCGGCTCCCCGCAGGGCGCTGCGCAGCCGGGCTCGGCCCTGTCCCCGGCGCCGGGGCGCGGCGGGCCCGGTTCTGGGCAGGGGCCCGGGCCGCGCTGTGCGCCGGCAGCCCGGAGCCCCCCGGACGGCGGCGCGGAGCGAGGCCTGGCCCCGGGAACCGGGGGAGTTTTAAAAAGGGGGAAATACGTGGGCCCGGCGCCCCGACAGATCTAAACCGGGTCAGGAGCGGACGCGCCAGGGCCCGGGCCCGCGGAGGGCGGTTCGGTGCCCTCGGACGGGGCCTGGGAGACGGGGCCGCTGCCCACAAACTGCCCGCTGCCAGCCGGCCCGCGCCTCTCGCTGCAGGGGCGAAGGGCCCTTCCTTTTCGGATTTGATTTGATTTTACTGGGAATTTATCAGTGTTTATTACCACAACGACAAGAACGGGTGAAAATCAGGGCAAAAAACTATTAATACTAATTGGGGGTAAATATCAGGGTTTATTTTGGTGGACGGAAATAGGGGGGGGAAAGTATTCACTAGATTAATGCTTTGAATTCGCTTCATCAGTGTGGTTTGCCGCAGAAACTGAAACAGAAACCAAAACAGGCCACCTCTGAGTTTAAGAAAACAATATGTCTCTAATCCCCAAATAAAACTTTTAATTTGAATGAACAGTTTACTGTTGTAGACTTAGAATGATTAGCCTATAAATAGCTTGCTATAAATAATAGCTATAAATATGGCTTGCATATTTATACCTGCCTCTGGCAATTTCCACCACATGCATCCTACGAAGTGGGGATTCACCCACGAAAACTCATGCTCCGATGCGTCTGTTAGTCCATAAAGTGCCACGGGACTCTTTGCCGCTTTTACAGATCCAGGCTAACAGGGCTCCCCCTCTGATACTTAGCCTATCAGTAGTTACATTTAATAAGTGGGCCTCACCATTTGCAGCACACACTCAAGGTCATCCTTTTCTCCTGGTTTTTTGTTTTTTTTTAAACTTTCAAATGCTACCTTGGGTTCTGAAATGTATTGTGATACAGATTTTTGCTTTCTTCCCATTTTAGTGTGTCAAATCTTTAAACCATTATCTGCTAACACTTCAGAATTACTTTACCCTAACTGTCCAATGTGGCGTTAGTAACATAGCTGAGTACTTTAATTTGTACCGTGGTTCTTAAGTTGCTCATACTATTTCGAAGTTTTGAAATGTGTATGTGGTCACTGTGAGACTCATTAGTACGTTTAAATGCACATGCACTTCAGTTTGCGTGCATGCCTGTTGGTTTATTGTGTGTATCTCTAGTCCAGGGGTGGCCAACCTGGGGCTCCGGAGCCCCATGCGGCTCTTCAGAAGCTAATATGCGGCTCCTTGTCTAGGCACCGACTCCGGGGCTGGATCTACAGGCACCAACTTTCCAATGTGCCAGGGGGTGCTCACTGCTCAACCCCTGGCTCTGCCACAGGCCCTGCCCCCAACTCCACCCCTTCCCGCCCCCTCCCCTGAGTCTGTCGTGCCCTCACTCCTCCCCCAGCCTTCTGCATGCCACGAAACAGCTGATCAGGAGGTGCAGGGAGGGAGGAAGAGGTGCTGATTGGCAGGGCTGCTGGTGGGCAGGAGGCGCTGGGAGCGGGTGGGGAAGCTCATGGAGGGCTGCAGATGCATTACTGTGGCTCTTTGGAAATGTATGTTAGTAAATTCTGGCTCCTTCTCAGGCTCAGGTTGGCCACCCCTGCTCTAGACTAATACATAGCCTTACTTCAACAGGCAGCTTTGCATATACAGACTAATGTATGATCATAATACATAGATCTCATGCAATGTATTGTATTTTCCTAATAATATCAGTTATTTTTTATATATTTGAATGTTACAAAAGTAGGGTGAAAATCAGAAAAAAATGAATATTTTTTGTAGAACCCAGGAATTTGTCAGTAAAAATCAGTTTAAACTGAAAACAAAGGGGTTTAAGTATTCATAAAGAACCCAAGGATCTCACAAAACGGGGGGACTGGGCAACAAAATAATAGATGAAAGTCAATGTTGATAAATGCAAATTAATGCACATTGCAAAATATAATCCCAACTATACATATAAAATGATGGGGTCAAAAATAGCTGTTACTACTCAAGAAAGAGATCTTGGAGTCATTGTGGATAGTTCTCTGAAAACATCCACTCAATGTGCAGCGGCAGGCAAAAATGCGAACAGAATGTTGTGAATCATTAAGAAAGGGATAGATAATAGACAGAAAATATCATGTTGCCTCTATATAAATCCATGGTACGCCCACATCTTGAATACTGCGTGCAGATGTGGTTGCCCCATCTCAAAAAAGATCTATTAGAATTGGAAAGGGTTCAGAAAAGGGCAACATAAATTATTAAGAGCATGGAAGAGCTTCCATATGAGGAGAGATAAATAAAACTGGGACTTTTCATCTGGGAAAAGAGGCAATTAAGGGGGGATATGATAGAGGTCTACAAAAATCATGAATGATGTGGAGAAAATAAATAAGGAAATGTTATTTATTCCTTCTCATAAGACAAGAACTAGGAGTCACCAAATGGTATTAATAGGCATCAGGGTTCAAACAAACAAAAGGCAGTATTTCTTCACACAACACACAGTCAACCTGTGGAACTCCTTGCCCGAGGATGTTGTGAAGGCCATGACTATAACAAGTTTCAAAAAAGAACTCGATGCATTCATGGAGGATAGCTCCATCAATGGCTATTAGCCAGGATGGGCAGGGATGGTGTCCCGAGCCTCTGTTTGCCAGAAGCTGGGAATGAGCAACGGGATGGATCACTTGATGATTCCCTGTTCTGTTCATTCCCTCTGGGGCACCTGGCACTGCCCACTGTCGGAAGACAGGATACTGGGCTAGATAGACCTTGGTCTGACCCTGTATGGCTGTTTTTTGACACAGCCATAGGTGCTGGAACCAGAGGTACTGGGGCTCGAAGGGGTTTCCAGGGTTTCCAGTTTGGTTCAATGGCTCTCAGCACCGCCATTGTACAAAGTGTTCCAGCACCTCTGGACACAGTGCTTAGGCACTAGCCTCAGGAGAGAGACCAGAACTGAACTCCCACTGTGAGGCATATTAAATAGGGCAGCATGATGGAAGTTTTCACTGCTGCTGCCTTTGCATGTACCTGCCTCATGCCAAGAGGACTTCATCAGCGTTGTCAGTGCATCCTCCTCCTCTGAGACCGCTCACTTATTCAGCAGAAGAAAATGGATCCTTACCCCAAGTGTATGTTACTCTGCCCTTAAATTGTAGACAGGCTTCAGTGCAGAGATTGCAAGACTCTCTCCATGACAGCTGCTGTGTGGGTGTGCATTTTGTCTGAGGCTGAGAGAATTCCTAGCCACTAACTCTGATTTCAGTTTCCTGCTAAACTGGTCTGGCTGTTTCTTCCAGAATATTATTTTGGTGCTGCATAATCCTGCCACCTCACATACAAGCTAATTGCACAAAAGTTCATGTCATTATAGAGAAACCCATTGTTTTATGATACCATTCTGTTATACTGCAAAATTACAAACTTTGCTTCTAGGGGTATTCTGTGCCACTGTGCACGTGCAGAATTTATGTCCCTCACAGATTTCTTTGTTTCCCCATGGAAAAATGAATTCTGAGGGGGAAGCAAAGGAAAGCCGCAAGAGTGACCACGCGCCCCTCCCCTGCAGCACAGGAACCTTAGTTTGGGTGACCGGAGCCGCCAGTGGAGGGGCTGGTCATGCGTGCAAGACAGAGAGACTCTGACCTTCTCACTAGCTATTGCAGCCCACCCAGCGAGGAAGGGCAGGGCTTCAAGGTATTTCTGAGGAGGTAGGCATGGGGCAGGCACTGTCGCCTCAGGCAGAGAAGAATGTAGCAGCCTGCCTGCTTAGTGAATTGTTCCCATTGCCGTTAGTGAATTCCCCCAGGAGTATTAAACAGGTTTAAAAGTTTTAAGGCTCCTTTACGTGGCCAGAGTGCTGTAAAGGACAGTATGGCTTATAAATGCATATGGTGATTTAGTGATTAAAACTGGTCTAAATTTTTGGACTGAAAAATTTTCCAATCACAATGTGCTCCATGAACTGTTTGCTACTGACCTTTCTGGAGATGGTCAGTAGCCAATATAAGTTGTGACTTTGAGTCCCCAGACCTCACTTGCTCTTCAGTTGCCTATGGCGTAACACTGAGCATATGGCTGCATATATTTGTTGACTAATAACTAGAAGTAAAGGGTCAATACTAGCTACATTACTATTAGACAGTGGGGGGTTGGGGATTTTCTCCAATGCTCCCCACTCCCATTCTCCATCTATTGTATTATAGTTTAAATAAATTATCAAAATAATTGAAACTGGCATGATTATATTGCAGATTATATGCAGAATTTTAAAATATTGTGTGCAGAATTTTTAAATTTTGGTGAAGACATTTTTTTTTTTGCACAGAATTCCCCCAGGAGTAAAACTGAATTGTAACCTATTTAAGAGCAGAGAGTTCTAATGCATTACAGAAGGCTGGTAGTTTTAAATCGGTTATCTTGCTCCCCATTTATTTCTCTTGCTTTAATTTCTCTACCCAGTGTCTGTGGATGCTGGTCAGCCTTGTCATTTCATGTTAAGAAATACAAATTCAAGTCAAATACAGATGGTCCAAGATCAGCTGTTTGAGTTTCTGCTGCAAACAGAGAGGTGCAAAGTCCTGCATTCTAGGATCTACAGGGTCTTCACTGACAAACTGTACCTAACGTCGTAATGTAAAGACATAAATCACTTTAGACGTGAGTCTTAGTGTTTGTACAGGTTCTGAGTGACTGAAGTCCTGGTGCCGGTACTGACTTAACTGCAGTGGCAGTGAGGGCCTCTCCGTATCCGCTGCACAGCGCCTGAGAGGGGAGGTCAGTCTCCACGGACATGGGGCTGAGCCTGTGAGCAGGGGGCCAGTCCGTGCTAGTGGTGGGGATGTGACGTGGATACAAATCTGTCAGGAACTGGCCTGAGACCCAGCAATTCACTTCAAACAAGCTACAGAACAGCCCTCAGATAGAAACCACTTTCATTCACTGCAGGCCCGGGAGGAATTTGAACCCATGAGCCCTGGGCGCGGTGAAGCTATCCCAGGTTGAAACGCTCCAGTGCCATTATCAATCACTTGAGTCACTCGCTGCCCCATGCTGAGCATTCCTTCGGCCTATAAGAGGGTTGGGTCTGTGGCTTGTCTGATCCTTATCCTTTTATTTGGTGTTCTAGGTTCTCTTTGCTCCTCAGCCTCAGTGAAGCAATGCTTCGGCTCCGGCTGTTAACATGGGACGTGAAGGACACGCTGCTCCGGCTCCGGCACCCAGTAGGAGAGAATTACTCTGCTGCGGCCCAAGTTCACAAAGTCCATGTGCAGCCTGAGGCTCTCAATAAGTCTTTCCATCAGGCATACAAAGCCCAGAGTAAGCACTTCCCCAACTATGGCCTGAGCCAGGGGCTAAGCTCCAAGCAGTGGTGGGTGGATGTTGTCAAACAGACCTTCAGACTCGCTGGTGTCCATGAAGACAGGCTTCTCACCACCATTTCGGAAAGCCTCTATCAGGAGTTCTGCAGTGCACAGAACTGGGAGTTGTTACCAGGTGCCAGGGAGACTCTGAGGCAGTGCCATCAGCTGGGCATCCGTATGGCTGTAATCTCCAACTTTGACAAGAGGCTGGAGAAGATTCTGTCTCACTGCAACCTCAGGCACCATTTTGAATTTGTCTTGACCTCGGAGGAGGCTGGCTTTGCCAAGCCAGACCAGCGGATCTTTCAGAAGGCGCTGCACATCTCTGGGGTAGCTCCCCAGCAGGCGGCTCACGTGGGGGACAATTATGTGAAGGATTATAGGGCAGCCAGAGATGTGGGCATGCATAGCTTCCTGCTCACGAGGGCTGGGCGTGCAAACCCTTGGGAGCTAGAGGTACCCAAGCAGCACATCCTGCCTTCACTTACCCACTTGCTGTCTGTTATCGAGAAGGGTTAAGGGTGAATCCCTCGCCTCTCTGCAGAGATCGCCAGGGACAAAGCAGATTCCTTACACCATGTCACTAAAAAGAAGGATCAGTTCTGCTGCAGGGGTGAGGAGGAGAGGGGAGAAGATTTGGTTCTCCACCAGGGAATCAGGTTCTAAAGGGTATCTGCATATCCTATAGAGAGGGGGCAAAAGCAAACCCCTCTGAACTCAGTGAGAAGTACTTGCTAGCACCATCCACAACCACGCATTAGTCATCCAATATAATAAACTGCTACAGATACTCAGCACTTCTCTTCCCCTTTCTTTCATAGCTCTCAAAGCTTCTAACAGAGTGGAGGGGATTAGTGCCATTATTGTCATTTTACAGGGGGGAACCAAGGGATGATGGCTAAGATCACCCTGCACGTCAGAGTGGAGACCAGAACTTAGAATCATAGAATCTCAGGGTTGGAAGGGACCTCAGGAGGTCATCTAGTCCTACCCCCTGCTCAAAGCAGGACCAATCCCCAATTTTTGCCCCAGATCCCTAAATGGCCCCCTCAAGGATTGAACTCACAACCCTGGGTTTAGCAGGCCAATGCTCAAACCAATGAGCTATCCCTCCCCCCTAAGCTATCCCTCCCTCACTCTGCATCTCCAGAGTGTCCACCTCGTCCCCTGTCCATTGCAGCTCTAAGCCCAGGCATTAATCCCTCATCATGCGAGGAAAGACAGCATTTCTTGCACACTTGAATGAACAAAGGCAGAAGCAGAAATCCCTTCTCTGGGCCAGGTTCATTCCCTGCATTGGTACAACTGGCTGGCCTAACTCCCTGCCAGCCTGGGCCAGCTGCACCACATGGTTCTGCTGGCGAGGAACACTGGTGGTGTGCTGACTTCAGTGGATCCCCTTGACCTGACAATAGCCTTTTCCCAGACAGCACCACCCCCTTCTTGGGTTGCTCTTGCTCTGGCCTGTAAGGCAGCCATTGCCCACCCCTGCAGCCTCTCACCACAGGCTCTCTCCGCATAGGACCTCTCTGCCAGGGTCTGCTCTTGTAGAAGCTGGCACATCACTTGGGGCGGTTAGTGCCTCTGCCCCGATGCTGGCAGAGGATCCCATGGGATTTCCCCCCTTGCCATTGTGCAAAGACTGGGCCTGGGGGTGCTGATGACTCTGCTTTAAGTAAGGATTTTAGTAGAACCCCCTACCGAGCCACTGGTGGGCAGCACAGAGGGGAGCACTGGAAACTAGAGCAGCCCTGTGCTCGGGCAGTCACTGCTTCCCAGAGGCTGATGGGAGCTTGACGGCAACAGAAACTAGCCAATGGGCCTTTCCCTGCCCAAACCTCAGCAGGTGCCTTTTCCAAGCGTGGCGCAGAGCGATCGCTGCCCTGCTCCCAGTGCTGGACTTGCAGCTGTGTGGCAGAGCCCCAGCAAAGTGCTGTGAAAAGCAGCCCAGGCGCTTGCCTAGACAGTGTGCAGCAAGCTGGGCTGTAAATTTACCCCACACCAACTGGCCATGTAGACAGACCCTGTTGCTGAGCCGCTTTGAAACAGGAGCAGATCAAAGTGCACTTCGGTGCGTGGCAAACTAAACGTACACCCCAGCTTGCTGCAAACTAAGTGGTCGTCTAGACAAGCCCAGAACGTGTAACATTCAGGGGGTTAAAAATCAAGATACTTACGTTTAAAAAGGGGAGAAACCAGCCCAGGCCAGGGTCCCTACTTCTAACCTGGGTCACGGCCTCATTTCTAAAGCCCCTTGTCACTGAACCCACCCCAACAAATGAACCAGATTGTACATAGTCTTATCAACAGGCTTTTCTATGGTGCTCAGCTTGGTAGAATGTGCGCACCTCTCGTACAGCCATGAATTTAGCCTCCAACACCACTCTGAGGTCTGGCAGGGCAACCCCACATTACAGAGGGGGAACTGAGGCACAGAGCTATTACAGGACTCATCCCAGCATGTTGCACAGTCAGGAATCACACGGCTTGCCCACATTTCAGGCTAGGGCTGTAATAACTGCACGTCCCCATCAAGGCTGAGCAGACTGCACATGCCAGTGTTGAGTTCCTCCCTCCAGGCTAGTAGTGGAAATTGAGGCTTCAGTATAGGGCACCTCTTTTCTGTCCGCCATAACTAGCCCCCCAAGTAGACATGTTCCTGTAGCCCCATGGCCACATTAGCTGCAGCAGCTGCACTGTAGCTAAGGCTTCAGCTCTCGGTAGAGATAACGGCTGTATGTAGGTTTCAGAGGAACAGCCGTGTTAGTCTGTATTCGCAAAAAGAAAAGGAGTACTTGTGGCACCTTAGAGACTAACCAATTTATTTGAGCATGAGCTTTCGTGAGCTACAGCTCACTTCATCAGATGTTTACCGTGGAAACTGCCACTGTATGTAGTAGAGCAAGAGAGCCTAACTAAAGTGAGCAAAAGTCAGGCCCTGCTGCTAGAAAGCAAAGTTAGCAAGTGTCAGACTATGTGTGAAAGGCAGGCCCTGTTACACAGCAGGTGCCTGTTTGCAGGGTCACTGTCCGATAACCCGACCTTGGCAAAACACACAGGCATGCCCAAGAAGTGCTAGGCACAGGGTATTGATGTGTGCACATTCCAGACGATGCAGGTACCCCCTAATGTAAACACAATCCTGGGAGATGAAACAGGAACACACCGACCACACATGAAACAAGGACAGGCCTAGGCTGACAGATGAAAATATTTTGTTTGAACCAGCAGGTACAAGGTAAAGGGTGGTAACTAACTACATCAGGGGGACAACATGTAACTTGTTTGTATCAGTGTATAAAAGAGGGGTTGTAGGAGCAGTGTTTTATCTGGCCTTGGGGGAGCAGAAGGTCCCACCACTCACTGAGCTGAGTCCATTACAACAGGCATATGCGAGTTAGTGTCCTCAGAGTCTACTGGACACTAGAACCGTGCTTTGTCAACAATAAACCTGACCGAGTGCCTTTGCCACCAAACCGTCTGTGGTGGTCGTGGGCACTTCAGTCAAGGTCTGCTGTATCAGCTACCTGGCCAGATCTGGTGCAGCACGCTGAGAGAACACACACACAGCCAACAACTGACAACACTGTCAATGGAGCGTTGTCAAAGGGATTAGGCCAAAGCAAAATTTGATGCAGTTCAGACAGCAGGACAAGATGCAAATCCTGGAGTGTTAAAGAACTGCATAACTCTGTGACCAATAAACATTTGCAGTTTTGCAGGCTAAGCTCAGGGTAATCAGCTCTCATGCTTCAAGGCACAAAATGATTTTGTGCAAGGGTCAGGAAGGATGGATTATTCCCTGCTTAGTGCAGTGTTGTGCAGTTGGCCAGATGCATTATGTGCAGTTTCCGCTTCAGGGCTTGGCTCCAGCCAGAGATTGACTACGCAACAAGACGGGCCAGTGAGCCGATCCTGTAGGGCAAGTCCAGTTTAACTAGATTGCCTAGAAAGAATTCTAGGGGGCTATTGCTGTTAAGAAACAAGCTCAGAGCAGGCACCTGGGCTGAAGCCAGAGCCTATTTACATATGTGACACTGAGCCAGAAGGGGTTTAGCACTAGCAGGCTAACTAACCCAGATTCAACCTGTAGAGACATCTTAGCAGCTAATGATTGTATTTTTGTATGTGTGTTTACATATATATTGTTATAGGTTGACAATGTACCCAAACAGTTCCTATCTGTCACCGTACTCTGTTACTTCATCGAGATGAACCATGACTGTAGTAATATCATTGTCTTTATTTCTCTGTGGTGTATATAGTGAACTACCTGCAAATGGCAGGAGATGGGCAGTTGCCTTATGTTAATCCATGCAACTAATCACCGGTGGTGCTTTGGAAATAGGAGGTTTTACTTCGAAGCCACTATTGTTCACCCAAGGAACACCTGCTGACAAAAGGCTGCCAGGGATCTACAAAAAGAACTCTTGGGCCCTGATCCCGTATCTCAGCTCCACTTAAGCTTCATCAGGGGAAGTCTGAGTCACAGGACTAAGGTCTCCAGCTCCAGTTTGGCTCACCCTGACATTGGACATTGTATGATAACTCAGGCTGCGAGTCTTTCACGGAGGTCACGGGAGTCACGGATTCCGTGATTTTCCGGAACCTCCATGAATTCTGCAGCTGCAGTGGCTGGTGCGGCTGATGCCTGGGCGGCCCCCCCCACACCCATGAGCAGCAATGTCTGCTGGAGCGCGCCACCCCTACGCACCTAAGATTTAGTTAGGAGTATTTTTAGTAAAAGTCACGGACAGGTCACAATAACACAGGTTATTGCCCGTGACCTGTCCGTGACTTTTATTAAAAAATACCCATGACTAAATCATAGCCTTAATTATAACCTATGGAAATAATTCTGAAAGAACTCTTTGCAACTCTAAAGCTTACCATCTCTACTATGAAACTAAGAATTTTATTTATATCTGTATGTATAATACAATACTCTCTTTTCTTTTTTAATAAATCTTAGTTTAGTTAATAAGAATTGGCTGTAAGCATGTATTTGGGTAAGATCTGAAATATTCATTGACCTGACAGGTAATGTGTCCAATCATTTGGGCTTGGTAGAACTTATTTTTATGATGAATATGATTTTCAGTAATCCTCATCTTTGACTGGGCTGTCTGGGTGGGAGCCCAGGGCTGGATGTGTTTGTGGCTTCTGGGTAACCAGGAAGATATTATAGAAGCTGTTTTGTTCATGGATAGGTGAATCTAATTATTAGAAATAACCTCCAGTTTGGGGTATCGTCTGCCCCATTCGTTGCAGTTTGCCCTGATTGAGCAATCTCAGTGTGGCCCCCCTGGGACCCCGGACACAAGGTATCAGTGCATTCAGGCTGCCAGCCCCATCCTGGCTGCTTGGAGTGACTGAAGATCCAGCAGGTGGCATGCCAAGTTGTGCGTCTCTGCAGAAAGCTCCCCCTTTTCCCCACAGAGCTGGTGGGTGAGTTGCTGCCCCTGTGCCAGACCTCATTCACTGAATGAGGGAGACGCTCTGGTCAGCCACAGCAAACACGGGGTAGATGGGTGCAGTAAAGGCTTCACGGTGCGAGTGGAGGATGACACAGGCACTAGGGTCATAGAACAGCACTTCCCCGCCATCCAAGTCGAGCAGCACGCCCACCTGTATGGGGCACTTGACTAGCTCCACCGCCTGATGATGGCCATTGTGCGAGAAGCAGAACTCCTTGTCATAGCGCGAGAACACCCAGGAGAAGGGGTTGTAGCCCAGCCGGGCTGCACTGCCAGGCCCTTTGCGCTCCAAGGAGCCATAAGAAATGCCCAGTTTGTAC